AAAAATTAGTTTGTGCTGCTTCGGTTTTTAAGATATTAAAATAATATTTATTGCTCATTTTCTGAGGTCACTCAGCCCCCCACTGCTCCAAAATTGACCCCAAATAAGTTTGTTTGTTTGTGCTTCGTTTGTGCAGGTAAAAGTTTAGTTTGTGCTTCTTTGGTTTTTTAGATATTAAAATATTATTTAGTGATAATTCTGAGGTCACTCAGCCCCACACATGCTCCAAAATTAGCTACCCCAAATAGTCTTGTTTGTTTGTGCTTCGTTTGTGCTGGTAATATTTTCGTTTTCGCTACTCGTTTTTAAAGATTTTTTCCTAGTCAACAGATTAGTCAATGCTGATGGCCATCTCCACAGTATAAAGCAAATCCAAAAATGACGGAGTAGCCTATTCTAAGTTCTTTCTGCAGGGAAAAAAAAATGGAGAGATTGCGCAGGCACCTCTATCATATAGTAATACTATAATACTCCCACAAATACTTGACATGCGCATATATAGCGATTTTATTATTCATATACAAATAATAATAATAATACCCTGTTTTGGTCATATTTACTATTAATTGCCCAGCTCCCCATCAATGATCTAGCGCAGAGACATATAGTTCTAAACTGAATGTGCAAGAGAAGCATTAGCCTACTTCTAATTTGGCCAAAGAAAACCTGTTAAAATCAAAATGTTTCTATATTAATTTGTGCATTTTTCAATTGTTTATTAAAGGTGCAAAAAGTCATTAAAAAAATCAATATTTTACTTTTTCGGGCAGCATTTTGTGTACGGTTCTAATTTCAAATTTGGTTTTCAGGATGGCATTTAAAAATACAACAATCCTTCTTTTGTAATTTTTTTCGTCATGGTTAAAAAAGGAAAAACGAATGGATGCAAAAGTATAGGCTACACGGACCTGGAAACCGTAGGCTATTGCATGTTTTATTTGAGCGCAGAAATGAAAATAGGCCTATGTATATCAAGTCTTTATTTTTTTATGTAAAGACAATGAAATAGGCCTAGTTTTTTTTTTTCCGTTTAATTGGTCTAATTGAACGAAATATGGCTACTAACAATTAAGTGACTGCGACTATTTCATGAGATTTGGTTTGCTGTTTGAATTAATTACTTATTACTTCAACTGTATTGTTAAAAATGACAGTAAAAACAAAAATACCGGCACAAACGAGGCACAAACAAAGAAGATTATTTTGGGTGAATTTGGAGCATGTGGGGGGGCTGGTGACGTCATCGCATATAATTCAATGTCTAATATTTTAAAAACCGAAGCAGCACAAACAAAGCACAAACAAATGAGACTATTTGGGGTGAATTTGGAGTATGTTGGGGGGCTGAGTGACCTCAGAATGACCTATAAATATTCTTTTAATATCTAAAAAAACCGAAGCAGCACGAACGAAAATTTTTATAGCACAAACGGAGCACAAACGATTGAGACTATTTTGCCGACGTTTTGCGTTGGGTGGGGGGCCAACTTCACGGAGGTCTGGGGACCCACCACTACTGCACATTTTGGTTATCTCCTTCATCGGTCACACCTGATTCAACTCACCCAGCTCATTAGTAGAGACTGGAAGACTTCAATTGGGTCAGACAGATGAAGGCGATATCCAAAATGTGCATTAGTGGTGGGTCCTTAGGACATGTTTGAGAGCACTGCTCTATAGGTCTGGAGTGTCCACTCATGCTCCTGGAGGTCCACTATCCTTCAGAGTTTGTCTCCAGTCCTAATTAAAACACACCTTAACCAGCTATTCAAGGTCTTCAAGATCAGTGCTGTGTTTGGTCAGGTTTGAGCTAAACTCTAGGTCAGGGGTGCCCAATCCTGTTCCTACCTGCAGCATTTAGTTCCAACACACCTGTCTGTAATGAAAATCTCAGTCATTCAGCTGGTTCATTTGTGTTTGGTCAAGGTTAAAGTTAAACTTTGCAAGAAGGTAGATCTCCAGGCAAAAGATTTGGCACCCCTGCTATTGGACATTTGCCCTCCGAGAGCAGGATAGGACACCCCTAATTCAAGGGGGTCTAATCCTACTCCTGGAGGTCCACAACCCTGCAGAGTTTGGCTCAAATACTAATTAAACACACCTGAACCAGCTAATCAAGGATCACTAGAAACTTTTGGGCAGGTGGGAACAAAACTTTATAGCAGTGGTTCACCCAAAACTGCACATATTGCATGTCTCCTTTTTTCTGACACCCCCATTGGACACCCCTGCTCTAATGTCTAGGATATTTTGACAGGAGCTCCTGAGGTGACGTGGCTGTACCTGCTGAGGGCAGGAGGAGCTCCTGCGGTGGTATCCAAAGAACCGGCCGAGAGGCGTCTTGGCGGCTCCTTCTGTGGCTGTGCGGTGGTTTTACGCAACAAGAAGTCACTGACTCCACCGTGCAAGGTTTCTTCTCCCTGATCCAGAGTCTCGCTGGCCGCCCGCTGCCTCTGAAACGCACGTCTCCGCGGAGAACCTAAGGGAATACAAGAAAAACATGGGAATGTCCAGGAAGTGAAACCTTGGAAGTGACTGATTTGAGATGCTCTACATAGGCAGCATTGTGACAGTGTTAATTTATGTATTATTATAGCATTTATTAAAATTTTGGCTTTTATTTTATTTGTTTTCACTGAGCTCCTCACAGTGTGTTGTTCACGTCAGCAGCTCAGCAGGTTTTGGAATGGAGCTACAGAGAAGCTTGGAAAGGAGACGCCACGGCTCCCTCATCCTCTATAATGAGAGCATGTAATGCGATCTGAAGCTCATTAGAAGGAAATGAGCATGCCGTACTGACTGACCCTTCACATCAGGTGAAGAATAATGCGTTTATTTTATAATTCACTTATCAGGAAGCAGCTTTTGTCCTGCACTCCTGCTTGAAATATCTTGAACCAATCAGATCTCATTCCAGTCACATGACTGTAACTAGACTGAGCTACTCTAGCCGTATTGATCCGGTATTGATTCCTCTTCTCCAGGCTCATTCAAGGCTGAAGAAGACCTCCGTGTGAAAAACATTAAGGAGACTGCAGGATGTCTGGCTTTGGATTGTTTTACAGAATGTGATTCCTGAATAATACTGCAGCTCATATCATGAAGAATCATTACTGTTCATTGAACTATGAAGCATCTTTCAGAAGACAAAACATCCTCTCCAGTCCAACGAGAGCGTTTAATCAAACTGAACAGCAGAAACGACTTGATCCGAACTTCACATGTGGAGAGTTCATGGATTAAATCATGAATGGAAGTTCTTGTGTGTTTGAGGTCATCCTCACCTCTCGTGTCGAGACTCGCCGCTCTCTGGATGGTGTCTCGTCTCCATTTCTTGACGCTGAAGAACGGACCCGCTCCCTCCAGACTGGCGTGGCGTCTGAGCTTAGACAGGAAGTGGAACATGGTGCCCTGAGCCGGACAGGAAGTGGAATATCTGTCCATCAGCAGGCTTCTGTTCATTACCTCAATCTGGAGAGGAAGAGATCATGAAAGTGTCCAGCAGGTCACCGGTAATGCCAAACATATAAAGCACCAAACTCTGTAATACGATGACGAAGTCATTCTGTCCAGATGCAGTGCATAACTTAAATTCAATTCAACAAACAAACACTGATATGCACACAACTACTGTACAATTTACAGTCATGCAAATAATTTATTGCCAGTGTCACAATGGGACCCACCACTACTGCACATTTTGGTTATCTCCTTCATCGGTCACACCTGATTCAACTCACCCAGCTCATTAGTAGAGACTGGAAGACTTCAATTGGGTCAGACAGATGAAGGCGATATCCAAAATGTGCATTAGTGGTGGGTCCTTAGGACATGTTTGAGAGCACTGCTCTATAGGTCTGGAGTGTCCACTCATGCTCCTGGAGGTCCACTATCCTTCAGAGTTTGTCTCCAGTCCTAATTAAAACACACCTTAACCAGCTATTCAAGGTCTTCAAGATCAGTGCTGTGTTTGGTCAGGTTTGAGCTAAACTCTAGGTCAGGGGTGCCCAATCCTGTTCCTACCTGCAGCATTTAGTTCCAACACACCTGTCTGTAATGAAAATCTCAGTCATTCAGCTGGTTCATTTGTGTTTGGTCAAGGTTAGAGTTAAACTTTGCAAGAAGGTAGATCTCCAGGCAAAAGATTTGGCACCCCTGCTATTGGACATTTGCCCTCCGAGAGCAGGATAGGACACCCCTAATTCAAGGGGGTCTAATCCTACTCCTGGAGGTCCACAACCCTGCAGAGTTTGGCTCAAATACTAATTAAACACACCTGAACCAGCTAATCAAGGATCACTAGAAACTTTTGGGCAGGTGGGAACAAAACTTTATAGCAGTGGTTCACCCAAAACTGCACATATTGCATGTCTCCTTTTTTCTGACACCCCCATTGGACACCCCTGCTCTAATGTCTAGGATATTTTGACAGGAGCTCCTGAGGTGACGTGGCTGTACCTGCTGAGGGCAGGAGGAGCTCCTGCGGTGGTATCCAAAGAACCGGCCGAGAGGCGTCTTGGCGGCTCCTTCTGTGGCTGTGCGGTGGTTTTACGCAACAAGAAGTCACTGACTCCACCGTGCAAGGTTTCTTCTCCCTGATCCAGAGTCTCGCTGGCCGCCCGCTGCCTCTGAAACGCACGTCTCCGCGGAGAACCTAAGGGAATACAAGAAAAACATGGGAATGTCCAGGAAGTGAAACCTTGGAAGTGACTGATTTGAGATGCTCTACATAGGCAGCATTGTGACAGTGTTAATTTATGTATTATTATAGCATTTATTAAAATTTTGGCTTTTATTTTATTTGTTTTCACTGAGCTCCTCACAGTGTGTTGTTCACGTCAGCAGCTCAGCAGGTTTTGGAATGGAGCTACAGAGAAGCTTGGAAAGGAGACGCCACGGCTCCCTCATCCTCTATAATGAGAGCATGTAATGCGATCTGAAGCTCATTAGAAGGAAATGAGCATGCCGTACTGACTGACCCTTCACATCAGGTGAAGAATAATGCGTTTATTTTATAATTCACTTATCAGGAAGCAGCTTTTGTCCTGCACTCCTGCTTGAAATATCTTGAACCAATCAGATCTCATTCCAGTCACATGACTGTAACTAGACTGAGCTACTCTAGCCGTATTGATCCGGTATTGATTCCTCTTCTCCAGGCTCATTCAAGGCTGAAGAAGACCTCCGTGTGAAAAACATTAAGGAGACTGCAGGATGTCTGGCTTTGGATTGTTTTACAGAATGTGATTCCTGAATAATACTGCAGCTCATATCATGAAGAATCATTACTGTTCATTGAACTATGAAGCATCTTTCAGAAGACAAAACATCCTCTCCAGTCCAACGAGAGCGTTTAATCAAACTGAACAGCAGAAACGACTTGATCCGAACTTCACATGTGGAGAGTTCATGGATTAAATCATGAATGGAAGTTCTTGTGTGTTTGAGGTCATCCTCACCTCTCGTGTCGAGACTCGCCGCTCTCTGGATGGTGTCTCGTCTCCATTTCTTGACGCTGAAGAACGGACCCGCTCCCTCCAGACTGGCGTGGCGTCTGAGCTTAGACAGGAAGTGGAACATGGTGCCCTGAGCCGGACAGGAAGTGGAATATCTGTCCATCAGCAGGCTTCTGTTCATTACCTCAATCTGGAGAGGAAGAGATCATGAAAGTGTCCAGCAGGTCACCGGTAATGCCAAACATATAAAGCACCAAACTCTGTAATACGATGACGAAGTCATTCTGTCCAGATGCAGTGCATAACTTAAATTCAATTCAACAAACAAACACTGATATGCACACAACTACTGTACAATTTACAGTCATGCAAATAATTTATTGCCAGTGTCACAATGCAAAACATCCTAATGGCTTTTAATTTGTTCATGCAAAATTGAAATAAAGCTTATAAAAACATAAAATATCTAAAACATTTGATGAAATAAGATTGTTGAAGCACTAAAATAGTTAAAAAATACAACTACAATTATATAAAAATAAATTAAACCTAAAGACTAAAAACTAAAATGAAAACTGAAAATATTAAAATTAAATATTAATAGTTTAAAAATAATACTAAAAATTATCAAAGATGACTTTCCCCCGGTTTCACAGAAGAAAACTAAAGTGTAAGTCTGAGCTGTTTTAACTGAAATAAACTTGCGCTGATTGATCTTAAAATATATCAGTGCCTTTGTTTTGTCTCAAGATGCACACCAGTAATGTTTTTGCTAAAGCATGTTAATAAAAATTGCTTAAATGTCCTAATTGAACTATGGCCTAATCGTGGCTTACCTAAGCCCTGTCTGTGAAACCGGGCCTATGTGTGGGACTTTTGATGTATTCTGCCCGTGTTCTCGCCTGTGTTTATTAACTAATGTGTATTTCATTGATGCTCGGCGTGACTCACGGTGTGTGATCGGGTTGGTTTGGCGGTGTGTTTGGGGCTGGTGTTCAGTGTGTTTCCAGGCAGAGCACTGCTGGGGCTCTGAGCGCTCCACAATCCTGCAGGCTCCGGCACGGGACCCTCCACCGGCTGAAAACACACACAACATAGTGAGCTCACTACACAGGGTGCATTTCAAGGCATCATACACTCCAGACTGTAGCCAATATAATGATGCTGCTTTCTAGGCCCCTTCGTATGCATGATTTCAAACATACTTTATAAAGAACTGAATCCCAAAATGCATTGTGACAAATCACTGAAAAATCTGTGGAATATCAAAACGTTCAGCCTAATTGAAAATACACTATTTTACTCAATAATTATGCTCATTAAGAGTATGACAGCGTTAACTTAGCAGGTTCCTCCTCCAGTCCAGCACAGGGTTATTAATAACTCAAACCTTTTTTAAAAATATTTGTTACTTGAAATAAAATAATCGACACCAAATTATTATTATTTATTTTTTACTAGCTGCCAATGCAACATTTCTCATTGTTGTTGAAGCACTAAAATAACTACAGCTAAATAAATACAATTTATAAAAAACTACCGTATAGACGCATACAAAACATAATTACTAAATCTTTAACTTAAATGTGAAAACATAAAATATCAAAATAATATTTTGAGCACTGAGCAAATAAACAATCGGTTCTGATTGGATGACAGATGTTCTAACAGGTTGATTATTTATAATGTTATTATTTTTATTATAAATAGAAATCCGTTTCAGAAGCTGTGAGTCAGACACACTGACAGCGTTTGTGTTGCGTAACTGAACTGCGGCTCTGCAGAAAATGAATCAGGAGTGAGTCAGTGAGAGTTATGATGAACTGCGTCTAATTTACATGAGAAAGCGAGTTGCATTTACACCCAAATGATCATTCATCTACATGGAGCCCAAAAGAACTGCTATAATCTGCTGAAACACTCTCTGTTCAGTCACTTTTCCTGGACAAAGTCTTTGTGTGTCTGCGGATCATCAAGCCCAGTAAGAGTTAGTTTAGTTGTTCGTATAATGCGAGTAGTTCACTCTTAATATTTTACATTGCGTCACAAAAAGCCTGTATTGCAAGATGTGTGGATAGATGGGTCACTAGTGCATTTTTCATGTTTTCTGCAGTGCATACGACAGAAATAGACATGCTGGAGGTGATGCTGGAGAGATATGAAAGCAGTGTGTCACCTGGAATATGGAGAGGGATGGGTGTTGTGAGGGCTGTTCGCGGAGCGCCACGCTGTTCTCCGGTGAATCGCACTCCATGATGGTGAGGATCTTCAGCGCCGGCGGCTGCAGGTGCGTCAGACGAGCTTTCTTCAGGTGATGGAAGTCGCCCTCCGTCAGCGTGTACCTGCGAGACCGTTACAGCCCGTCAGGATCCAGATCAAGTCTCAGTGGTTATTTCATTTCCTTTCTGTTCTTTATGGTTGTGAACTAAAACATGAACTTGGTTCTCTGACAGACAGCTGGAAGTGGACAGTGACAAAACCAACTAGTTTAACTCCATTATAATTCTTAATTCTGTGAATCGAACAAAACACCAAAATTTAGATCTCTTAATCGAACAAAACCGGATGACACTGAAATCTCTTAAACAAAACAGACCAATGTTTAAGTCTCGTAATCAAACAAAACCAAACTAAAACATGAACATGATTCTCAACAGGTTGTCGTTCTTCGGTCGCTGCCGCTCTCGACCCTTGACCCCTTCATATGTGTGTGTCTGACCTTCGACCTGTCTCCTGGTCTTTGGCGCTCTGCTCATAGATGGCGGCCTCGTTGAAAGAGACCCGTCTTCCGGTGACCGACGCAGACGGGAAGTGATCCGCGTCCGTATCGTCATGACAGCTGGAAGAAGACAGCGACTCGCCGCTCTCGAGTCTGATCGTGACATCTGAAGAAAACGGAGAGAGACATCAGTGATGCACATTTGTTTCTCTTTATAAGCCGTGCGCTATATTTCTCAACATCGTCGCTTAAATAACTGATTCAATTTGGAAAATGTTAAACTCACATCAGGCTCTTTGAAAAACAGCATTTTTTCATCTTAAGACAACCGATTATATCTTCATTAATGCTTTTTGATAATTGTTCACTCTTGCTTAGAACAAAACTGACTATTAGCTAAATCTCTAGATGTGTGTCTGAGCATCAGACTTTTTATCTGCGACAACCAATCATATTTTCTCTAATAACTTTTTGAGAATCACTTACTCTCGCTCAGAACAAATCTGGCCAATATTTAAATTGCTAACAGAACAAAACCGACAAACATTTAGATCTCTTAATCGAACAAAACTGACCGACATTTAAAAACATGTTCATCAAATAAAACCAATCAACATTTAAAAATGTTAATCGAACGAAACTGACTGATGTTCAAAAATCTCCTAATCGAACAACATTTAAAGGTGACCTATTACAATACAATATGTAATACAAGTCTCAGGTGTCCCCAGAATGTGTTCAGCTCAAAATACTCCACAGATCATGTATTATATCATTTTAAAAATGCCTATTTTGAGTGGAAGCAGAAGCAGGCTGTTTTCGTGCCTGTCTCTTTAAATGCTAATGAGCTGCTGCTCTCCGCCCCCTTTTCCAGAATTGAGCTGTTCCTTGAGATGTACGTCAGATACTCTGATAAAAAAAAACATCTGTTTGGTTTTGATTATCATGGTTATCGTGCTGAAATCCTGTGTTTTAAAGCCATATGAGTTTAAACTTCTGTTATAGTGTTTTCTGAGCGCACACATCAGAAGCACGCACACAGAAAGCGGCTGTCACACGGCATGTGAGCATTAAACTAAGTTCTCTTTCATGTCTTATTGCGCTTAAACTGTCAAATAGACTCAAGTTTATATTATAAACACACGAGTTACAAAAACAGTGGGTTATGTCTGTGCAGGTAAACAGCTGGGAAAGCGATCGCATGTTTATATTAGATCTGTGTGGCAGCAGCGTAATATACAGTAAATCAATAAATCCACGGCTCTCTCGTCTCCTCTGAGGCTGGGACTCTAAACAGTGTTCTGTGCAGCTAACGATAGAACAGTTAGCTTGCTTTGCTCGAACTTTAGCCATGGCGTTAGAGCCGGTATACCAAGAGTGGCGGCAGCGTGAGTGGAAACGTGCAGATTAAGGGGCGGTGATATTATAATGAGATCCCTTTGCCACGTCACAAAGGGAGCGAAATCTGACGCGTTCATTTTTTTCAGAAAAATGCTTACCAAAACAAAGTTACTGGGTTAATCTTTTTCACGTTTCCTGGGTTGGTAGATGCACCGGAGACCCGGTTATAGCACATAAAACCGGAAAAAGTCAGATTTTCATGATAGTTCACCTTTAATAATGTTAATCGAACAAAACCGACTGATGTTCAAAAAATCTCTTAATCGAACGAAATCGATCAACATTTAAAAATCTCTTAATCAAACAATCTCAGTGAGTCTTTTAATTGAAGGCTTGGCCTGACTGTACTGCGGTGTTTGTGAATGACTCTGTTCTCACGTTCACCTTGCGTCGGCTGACTCTCCTCTATGTATGTGGTGTTGGTTTTCTCCAGATCATCACTGGCTCTGAACACCAAACAAACACAAACCACATCAAGATGATGAGACCTGTTGATTTGTTTAGCTTGTAATCACACACACACACACACACACTCTACAGTATGTGGTGATGAACAGGTTTGTCTACTCCAGTGTTTTGAGTCGTTTCTGCGGGTGAGAGTGAAGGAATGAACACTGTCTCCGGATGTTTGGAGTCGTGATTGTTCCTCACCTGGAATAGCGTCGCTCTCCTCGACAGCAGCGATGACAGAAGACCAGCAGGATGGACAGGAGGACCAGCGTCCCGCCGGCGAACACACACAGCAGCACCAGCAGCAGGACATAGTTCTCCTGAGAGCCGGATGCCAGCGGCACGTCCTGCAATGCATTTCACACTGATCTCGGTTTCAAAGTACTGTGCATTTCCTCCAGTGACTCGACCCGAGACATGAGGCTGAACCACAACAGACCATCAACTCCATCTACAGCCTTCCTGTAGCTCAAACAGTAGACCACAGCGCTCGCAACACAAAGGTCATAGGTTTGAGTCCACAGGGACAGTAAGGACTGACACAAAATGTATACTTGAATGCAATGCAGATCTAAACCACAGTGTGTCCAGAACCACAGATAATCAAGATTTACAACATAAAAAACAGTAAACATTAAAGTACAGACACATTGAATTGGACTGGTTTCATAACTGATGAATTTTGCAACATTAACGGTGTTATTTTCCTATTTGTTATAAATCAACCATAATTACGCGACTCATTTTGTGAATAGATTAAAGGAATAGTTTCACCCAAAACTGTGTGACTGACTTTGTGAGATATTTTGAGAAATGTCACACTGTTTTGTGTCCATACAATGGAAGTCAGTGGGGTCCAGTGCTGTTTGGTTCCTTCAAAATATCATCTTTTGTGTTTCACAGAAGCAAAGTCGCACAGGTTTGAATGCTGACAGATTGATCATTTCTGGCTGAATGATCCCTAAACTTGTGTTTAATAGGTAAGTTTATTTATTTATATAGCACATACACCGTGGTAATTCAAAGTGCTTTACAGAACATTTTTAAAAAATTGTAAGTTTTATAGTAAATACATAAAAATAGATGACTGTTTAAACAAAGAGACTGCACTGATTTACTGTAAGATCCTTATTAAATATCAGAGGCATTATTGATGCGTGCGATCCGTCAGCAGGAGTATGTACAGTGCGTACTACAGTTATCAGCAGCGCTGGATAATACAATTAACTCAGAGAGATGATTGATTAATTAGTGCTAACTGTAAGAACGAGTCTCATCATAATCAAAACTCTGATGGATCTTCAGTTCAGTTTCTGCATCTCTGAATGAGAAACGAGGACATGAGCGCTAAAATTAGAGACGCAATAAAGCCTTGAGCCAAGATGCATTTACTGCAGCTCCTCGAGAGTGTGTGTGTGTGTGTTTGGCTGGTGTCTGGAGTTCAGACGTGTGTGTGTGTGTGTGAAGCAAACAAACATTAAGTGCATGTGCTTATGGAAATTTTCCATCTGTGCTCCATGTAAACTAATTAGTGTGCAGCACTGAGACACAAACAGGCATCCTGTGAGGGGTTTCCCTCTGTCAGGTGAATCTGTCGGTCTGTCTCCATGGTAACCGTCTCCCTGCAGCCCCTCCCTCACCTGAGGAGCTTCCTCACCTACAGCAGGTGAAACACGACTGGCTTCAGATCCGCCAGATATACTCGAATAATAAAGATGTGAAATATTAACATTTTAAATAGCTAAAAATAGCTACCACAAAAATATTGAACAGCACAAGTGTTTTCAGCATTGATAATAATCAGAAATGTTTCTCGAGCAGCAGATCAGCATATTATACTGATTTCTGAAGATCATGTGACACTGAAGACTGGAGTAATGATGCTGAAAATACAGCTGCGCATCACAGAAATACATTACAGCTTAACAGAGATTCACATAGAGAACAGATATTTTAAATTACAATAATATTTCACAATTTTACTGTATTTTTATTCATATGCATATGATAACCCTATACAGGCTATGCCTAGGGTTTTTTTGTGGATATTTCAGAGCATCAGAGTTAGATCTATAAATGATTTTTAAAGATTTATTTGATTAATTTCTACGTCTGTCACATGTTTTGCTGATGGTGGGATGTGGTGTACCAGACACACCGAATCCTCTGGTATGTCATACGGGTGACAGGATTGTGAACACACCCATTAACACAAGCTGTTCCTGTTTTTCTCGTCCGCAGCGAATTAATTTGGAAACAGATTTCCTCTCACTGAGCTTCAGTGCGTCTCCAAACAGCACAGACTTTCAGCAGAGAAATGCCAAAAGACAGAGAAACACTTCGTCTGCAGTTTCTCACGCTGATGTTCTGCATGAAAACTGCAAAAACAGCGGCTCCTTTACCAAAGTTTCCCATTCATTTCTATGAAGGAAATATAGACATATTTCCAATCATCAATTTGGTTCTTTTGGGAAAACAAATGTTTCGCAGTTCAAGTAAAGCAACATTTTCTCACCTGCCAGCAGAATTAAAGACACTAGACATACATAATGCATCAGAGTTCAGCTGCTGGAACAGAATCATATTAAATGCTGCTGCTTTTAGCCTCTTTTATATTTTAATTTAGTTTTTGCTTTTACTTCAAGTGACAAAATATACACCAGAAAAAAATAAAATATTAATAATTTCCCCTCGTGTGAGAGAGAGAGAAGAGAGAGTGAGTGAGTGAGTGAGTGAGTGAGTGTTGGTTGTACTCACAGTGGTGAGGCGCGTCTGTAACGGAGACTCATCACTCATGGTCCAGAAGCATGTGTGAGACGCCTGTGAGATGCACAAGAGAAAATAACAGGCAGTCAGACGGACAGACGCTCGTCCATCATCAGGACCCCTGAGCGCTGATTCAGCAACATGAGCAGAATCACTGCAGAACGACTGTCCATCTGGATCAGAACACATCATTACAAATATGGTAGAACCATCACTTCAACAGCAAAAGACTGCTTTGTAAATAATCTTCCCAATTTGTCTCAATTCCTCAGCAAATTCAACAGCTCAGAAAAACTTGATGTTTTCTATAAACTATTGACTCTCTCTTTTCTAGCACTTTAGATACAGTTGCTCCTCTACGCTTAAGGATGATTAAGGAATACAGTCCAACATTGTGATATAACGAGCACACTCGCACCTTAAAGAGAGCAGCCCGGAAAATGGAGCGCAGCTACAAGAAAACAAAACTAGAGGTATTTCGTATTGCATGGAGGGAAAGTACTTTCTCCTACAGAAAAGCTCTAAAAACTGCTACATCTACTTACTTTGCATCTCTCTTAGAAGAGAACAAACACAACCCCAGACATTTATTCAATACAGTGGCTAAATTATCGAAAAATAAAGCATCAACAAGTGTTAACATTTCCCAACAGCACAGCAGTAATGACTTTATAAAATACTCTACTTCCAAGATCGATACTATTAGAGATAAAATTGTAACCATGCATCCGTCAGCTACAGTATCACATCAGATAGTGTGCTTACAATTCCACTCATTCTCTACTATAGGAGAGGAAGAATTGTATAAACTTTTTAAATCATCTAAAAAAACAACGTGTGTTGTTCGGGAGGCAGACACACTCTGTCAGTTTGAATCTAGATTAAAGAGTCTGTATCCAGATCAGATGGTGGATCAGCAGCTAGAGACGACCTCTACAGCCCTGAATGTCAGCGGAGACCACGTCAACTAAAAACAGATCCCCAGTGAAGACCTCATCACCTCGACAGCCATCGGCACAAGACCACGGGAACCAGACGAGTCCTCTGCACAATCTGACCTGTGCTGCAGCCTGGAAATAAACCACACCATGCTGGTTTGGTCTGGTCAGAGGAGAACTAGACCCCCACTGAGCCTGGTTTCTCCCAAGGTTTTTTCTCCATTTCTGTCACCGATGGAGTTTTGGGTACTTTGTGTTGCTTAGTTGGGGACGCTTGACTGATTGCACAGACACTATTGAAGAGAGCTGAACTGGATGATTACATCACTGAATCATCAATGAACTGACTTTAGCTGAAAAATGACTCTTTGTTGTTGTCTTCTTGCATTATTGACAAACTATGTTCCTGTTTAACACTGTAAAGCTGCTTTGACACAATCAGTACTGTATAAAGCGCTACACAAATAAAGGTGACTTGACACACAAACACACACATTTTATTTTAATTTTAAAGTTTTAGTAATTTAGTTTTGTGTTTTTGTCATTTTTAGTAGTTTTTGCTTGTGTGTATAGTTTTTATTAGGTTTTAGTTGATTTAATTTTAGTTATGTTAGCACTTTAACATAAACTAAATGAAAACGAGAAGTCGTTGGTATACTATTATAGTTTTTGTCAATATTTTGATTAGCCGTTATTTTATTTTATTTGTTAATTTTTTTATTTGAATTTTAGTTTTTGTTATTTCAGTTCAATGAAAATGAGATGTTGCCTTGGCAGCTCGTTGAAATAAAATATGTTTTATTTAATATTTAATAATATTTTATTTCAAGTAATGGAAATGTTTTTATGGTTTTAGTTTTAGTTAATAATAAGGACAGCTCAAGATCTTTGTTATTATTACTGACACATATTGTTGAGTTTATGCGGGTCATGCAAATGTTAATGAATGTTATGTTTGATTTCTCGTATATGACACAGGTAGTCATGTGACGCGTGTCCTGCAGCGAAACAGACCGAGACGCACTGGACTGAGACACACTCCGGTAGGACCGATGATGCACACACACACACACACACACACACACGTCCAGTGAACTAGAAGCCATAAACAATCCGACTTGTGCTTGATCCAGCATTCATTACAGCTATTTAACTCTCTGACCGCACACACACTGACCATTAACCAGCGACTCAGTGCTGAGTATTCATGAGGAAAACACACACACACACACACACACAGAGCAGAGCCAGAGATGCCCGCTGATGTCAC